TGTGCACCCTTCCACAAATTCCGCGATAATCTGAACGTATGCCTCGCGACAACGCGCGCGGATGGTGCTCGATAGGTGCGAACATTGATTTCGGAGCATCTCCTCATCAACTGGTTCTAGGAGCACGTCTTCCGGGATTGACACAGCTGTCTCCATTGGAAGAATGCCTCCCGGCAGCTGAGGAGTTTCGAGAGCCGCAATATAGCTGGGTTTATTTGGCAAAATAGCGTGTTGGAAGGAAGCCAAGATTATGATTTTGAGAAGTGCAACCACAGCTATGGATATCGACGAAGGCGGCAAGGTCTCGACTGCAGAGAGTGCCGGCTCATATGAAGACGGAGGAAATGCTTCGAGTCGTTCCTTTAGCAACTCGGAGCACGTTAACTGGCACAATTTGAACATTATTGTATGAGCATGTTCGAACGAGGATTCCTGAGTCAGCTGAGCCGATATGGTAGACCACAAGGAGGACGCATCCATCTGAGAAACCATCGCAATGAATGGTCCCTGATAAAGCTTGAAGTACGACTCGTAGTAAATTTTGGACTGGGCCAAATAACGAATGGCAAATGGTGGAATTCGGTTTATTTTCGAAAACTTGGAGAAAGTTGTGAGGTGTCCAAGGACGACATAGACGAATAGTGAAGATCTAGAATAATATTCATTGTCGTCCCCAACGTGCTTTGATGCATCATTGAACGCATTCTCGAGGGCTATCTCCACAGCAGATGACAAGGCGTCTGTTGATGAAGATATTTTGAATGAGCGGCAAGTGTACTCATGTTCCTCCGGCTTAAAACCGAAGCTAGCCGCGTGTGCGAGATATCGGAACAGCATAAAATATGGAACCTCGGTGCGGAAGCGCTGGATGAAGTTGATTGTGCGGTCAAACCATTCAGATGAGGCCGAATTGGGATGATGCTGCAGTAGCTCTTCGAAGGCTTCTGGGTGTGGATAGTCAAACTTCCCATTTTGCATCTTCGCGATGCAGGCGAAGACACATTTCAGATCCCTGAGGTGCCCCGCAACCCCAAAGTCTGTGCGACATGTCTCCAGATAGCGAAGTACCTTGGCCATCTCTACGTCAAATGCGGCGAATGCACGGTTTCGGGCAAGAGTTGCCAGGGGAAGCAGAGGTTCTTGTAGATTGCCCCCGAATTCGTAGGCCCCTCCGATTAACCGGGCATCCATTAGGACGGGAGAGGCGGGATCTGCTTTCGCAATGGCCCACAGTGCTTGGATGCAAACGCCCTGACGCTCTTGAACGACGGAATCAGACATGCTGAAATCTGTGCTGAAGCTATGCAGCATTACTTCGATCCGGACTTGAAGCTGAACATCGTGGTCATCAATTAGGGCTTTGATGTGCCCCTTATAACTGTGTAGAAGTCCGCTCTTGACTGCACGATCGTCTTGAAGTAGGCCTGGAATGCAACGCACGAAAGGCAGCAGCTCTTCGTGACCTATCAAGGACTTCACCGTCCAACTGAGGGCCCGATAATCTCGAGTCGCCCGTTCTGTGGTGGACGCCGTCGCCTGGCGCGTCATCGCCTCCACCAAAGTCAGGTCATGAGCCGACATGTCTAGGACATCCGGGCTGCGATGGAAAGTGGATATGAGGACCTTTTGATACCATTTGCCTGCCGTACGACCAACATGCCACAGCATATCGGAAATGGGGGTCCGGTATGGGCAGTCGAGGCAGTAGAGAGGAAGGACAGTGAGAGTCAGATAGACCGCCGTGAATATCAATGTAATAGTCGAAGAGACTGCCATGACAATGAGATTCACCGGGATTAGGAAGGCGACGAGACCAGCAAAGAAGAAGAGCAGAGACGCATGAAGAAGGAGAGGGATGACTGCTACGATTGTGTGCATACTGAAGCGCCGCATGCCGTAGTACAAGTACGACATGATACGGGCGCCCACGACTGGTTCGGAACGCATTTCGGCTCGATGGAGAAAATCCTGGGCCCATTGTCCCACTAAAGTTGCAATGAGAGCGCAGGAAAGGCTAAGACCGAGACTGATGAACCAAAGTATGTTGCATATGAGGGCCGACTTCGAAGCTGCAAATTGGGGAACAGGCGCCGGCGAAACAATGGTTGTACCGTTTCCGCTCGACATCTGGGCCAATTGCAAAGAGATTTGGGTTAATATGTGGACTGTGGTGTCTCCAGGGTCCGCAAACAGAGTCTTGTAACCCTCTATAACAAATCCGGTCACTGTCGCTGAGAAAAGCCCGGCCTTCAAAACTGCTCAGACTCATTTTGGAGACGATACTAGGAAAAGATTGCGCACAAATATGAGGATGCCAGTCACATTATCTCTCCAGCTCTCAACTAAAGCCATGTCATACTTTTCGGCTTCAGCGAGATAGATGGCCCATATCTGACTGTTTGCGGCATCCCTGGTTGCAAGGGGAATATAGGTCGGTATGGCATAATAGGGTGAGCGTCTTGGTCGTGACTGTAAAGGCTCGAGGTCGGTCAGTAAAATTGCACCGATCTTTGAATTACAAGTGACTTTCTTACATTGGCAGCGTTCATTATAACACGATGAGTTGGTACAAGATCAAGATGTTTCCACTGTCACGGGATGGCCTCCAAGACAATGGTGACAGCCGCCGTTGTAAGGCAGCTTCCGAAGTTGAATATTCTGGGCTGGCGTGGGATTTGGGGCGGGAATGGATTTAGATTGGATGTACCGGGTGATGTGGGATCTGAACAGGTGGAATTCCTGAGAAACCGAAGTTACGATAAAGAGCGCGGAATAAAGAACGTTGGTGTCGGCACAGCCGACCTCGCGGGGCTCTCGTTATACTTTAACCAACAGCCATCGACTTAACAAGTTGAGATCAGAGACCCTCCTCGGCGGCATTACCATAGTTCTAAATAACGGTGAAGACCTCGGTCACGAATTTAGAAGAGCTCCAAGGCTGTATGGCGCATGAATGTCTCGTGACCCCCGCCCAGGAGCTTAAGAAAAGCCGTTTCGCAAGACCTGTAAAATGGGATTAATAATGTCGAAGCTACAAAACAAGGAGTCGCACCTTCATTAGCGTCTCGTTGTCCTCGGCCTCCATCAGGACGATGGTTGTATACTTATTGTCTGCCTTACGCTTGAGCATCTCAGTCACTTCTTTCCAGTCCTGAATGACTGTCCCTTTCAGAGCCACAGTGAAGGCGGAAAAATGTTCACATACCATCTCGTATCTTAACAAATTGTTCTGCATCACGGGAAGGACCCTCATCGAGTTGACTAGTTCGACCATCTTAGTGCGGACTTCGTCTGATGAGATGCCGTCCAAAGCCTTGATGACTCCAATGAGACAGACACGATCTTTGCAGAAAGACATGGGCGGTTGGATCTGCGGGCAATACGCGATTCGAAACCGACCGGAAGTATGTACATATGCTGGAGTGTCCATGGAGCGGAAGACATAAGGAAATTTGCGGGAACAAGAGACGGTATCCGGGATCAGAAAGCCAAAAGAGAGCCATTAGCGCTTTGACAGCTCGAGGCACATTCAGTGGGATATAATTGAGCAGGGACCCGAAGTTTAGATCCAATGAAAGAGCTTGAGCTAAAGCAAAGTTGGAAATGATGCGCACTTAACCTCAGGCTTGTCCACTCGAGAGATATGGTAGATCATGGATCTGTCAGGAGTAAACTTGAATCAACCAACGTTGGCCATCATTGCGGACCAGAGAAATTTGTCTTCGAAAACAGCTCTTCAGATTTTACTGGTGTCGTCTGGAGGATATGGTCGCGCATTGAGCAGCATTCCCAGAATTCAAATCCGATGCACAAATGAAATCATCTAGAGCAACATTTTTGAGTAAACGATGTGATGGGTGGGCCGGATGGTACAAACCTGTCTGAATCAAGTATTATCTTGCAGATGTAAGAGCCACTTCCTTTAAAGAAAATCATATAACATCATTTTTGTACGTTGATGAAGCAGATACGCACATCCCGGAAGAATTTATCTCTCCTCAGGCTTGATATGTCTGGCTCGCGCAGAAAACTCGAGGAAGTATGATGAGTACTTCGGTCCAACGTTAATGCTACATTAACTGGGGGGCGATACGCAGGTTTCGGACGCGGATAAGGAATTAAAATACGGTACCATGCTTCCGTACATGTACTTTGACGCGTACTTGGCCCGCATGGCGATCGCTCCGAACCTAAAAAAACCAACATTAATCGTTTACTGGGTCGCTCCGTTTGTTTGAAATCCTTGCACATGTCTCATAGTATCCTTCACGGAGGCGAAAGTGTATTCCCATGGATCGTTGTCGCGCAAGATGCTAAATCGAGGTCGCGACAAGACCACGCGGACAGAAATCTAATCCACGCCACTTCAAAAGTCAGCTTCCGCTTCACAGAGCGCTCTCACCGACTCTCACTGGATTCAGAAGTTGTCATATCAAATTCGAGCGCGGTTCGAGAATCGGAGGTGATTGAAAGAAAACGCCGTCGGGGAGCGATAACGAACTTTCCTCGCGGCGCGTCGCTAGCTCTGATTCAGGCAGACGGAAACAATGCCGAATGTTGCCCAGAAGGGCGCACTACGACTAGTATCAGGTAAACGTCAACCAACCAATATCGCTGGCAGTAAGATGCCGTAAACGGCGGTGTAAAGATACGAAGGATCGACCAGATATCTGGTTGGGCCATCGTCCAAGCATATTTCAGGAACGACAAGATAAGAAGCGGAAACCAGAGGAGATTGAGAGGAGAAGAACGAAGTTGACGTTGATGGGGCCGGGCCGAGGGAGGCCGAAGGATCGGCCTCTCGAGCTCGAAAACTCATACTTAAGAGATTTTTGTGAGCCAAGTAAAGCGCTTTTAAGGCTCATGGAGACCTCGATTTTTACAAGTGGGTGCTGCCTGTGTCTGCCTTTTAATTAGGCTTTTTTGCTTCGATCGAAATTAAGCATGTCGCCAAACTCCTGTAGGTAGGTATTATACCCATGATTTCGCACGTCGTCATGTCTCGACTAGTATATCGGTTTAGTACACGCGCCTGTCACTACGCATTCGTAATCGGTACGCGCGAAAGCTGGGTTCGACTCCCAGGTCGAGAGTTCCTTTTTACACTTTTGTTTCGCATCAATCGTTGTAAGTATCTCCCCGTACAAACATTACATAGGCAACATAATCTGGTCTTCCAATTTTTAGTTCAACCACTCTACTCGATTCTCAACCATACGTTCCACTCACTTACTCGCCCTGTTCAAGCCAATCCACCAGCTCGTTCTCTTGGGCAGCCTGTAGCACCGACTTCCCGTCCACATTCTTTATGGACGTGTCTGCTCCGCGATCGAGAAGAAATTTTACAACAGTCCGATGTTGATTCTGCAACGCGGCGTGAAGAGGTGTGCTGATTCGTGGTTCCCGTCGTATCCAAGAATTTGTTGGAGTCTCGTTAATGTCTGCTCCTCGGTCCAACAACAATGCCAGCACATCAACACGTCCATTTCCCGCAGCCCCGTACATTGCTCCCGAATCGGAGATGGTCGCCCCATTGTCCAGCAAGAGCTCCACCATTGCCAGAGACGAATCTCGACACGCTGTCGCAAGTGTGGTCCAGCCGAAAAATAGGGCATGGTCGTTCACATCTGCGCCGTGGTCGAGTATCCATTGCGCGAGCTCCATATGACTGCACCATACCGCCATCTGCAACGGAGTGCCCCCACCGATGCTGATCGGGTCGTTGATACCCCAGTTTGACGCGTCATTAAATGCCTGGAAAACCGGTATGGAGCTCCCCGCCAGGATGCGTTCGGCTGCGAATGCGGCCTTGACGGTAGAGTCGTTCATTGTTATGCCCCGACTAAGAAGCAGGTGGACGATCTCGCCGTGGCCATTCTCGGCGGCCAGGTGTAACTGGGGCTGGAAAGCCTGCAGGGGCTGTTTCCCAGGTGGAAGCTCATCCCAGTACTGCAGTATCTGGGATACATCTTCTAGAATGCCATACGTGCACGCCAAGGCAAGAGCCGCCCGCAAACGGTCAACTTCTGTGTTGCTTCTGAGCACTGACACTCCAAAATGTCAGGACTACTTACCACTTTGAGAGGTTAAAAGTCCCCAGGTCTGCCCTGATATCTTCCGAAGATGGTACATGATGACGGTGGGCCTTCGGATGTACGTGGACTGGTTTCTCCTTGTTGATTCATACCGGTGCCATGTTTGAGGGCGGCGTCTTGACGATCAAGCTGACTCGGATCACCGTCGAGTCGATGCTGACTTATGTGTTTGTCCAATTCTATACTGAACTCAACTCCGGCAGCAAGATCTAGGTTAGGTGACTTCGTTGGTTGTTCAATGAACCTGAACCGAGTACCCGATATTCGCTTGTCAAGTTAGTCTTGTATTTATTTCGCTACTAGTTCCGTTGCATATGCTCCCAAACCGGGATGCTCCCAAACAGACTTCGTTCGACTGTTTGAGCCAGACGAGCCTCTTACCTCGGCGAAATTAAAAATTTCAACCAAATTTTGCAACCAAGACCGGCGGACGGACCGGAATCCCGATTACGGAACTCCATTTAGCTTTCTCTCCTCTCAACCATCCTCTCTATTCCAACTTCGAGTTCTCCTTCAGCCTGCATCCGCCTGCATCCGCCTGCTTTCTGGTCGCGCCTCTGGGTGAAGCTTGGGCTACTTAGATAGTGACTCTCCGCCAGAGACAATAATAACATCGCATCAGGTTATAAAAAACTTCCTGCTGTCGACTGTGCGTCTCGAACTGTCTCGAATCTCGAGTAGCTGGGTCTCAATTTGCGCAGATTCTCCATCGGCGCCCTCGTGACCTTTCTCTTCCCACCGGACTCAAAGCCTCGCTCTTACCCCGCCTGAATAGCTGTTGATTTTCGAGATGCTCTCATCCTAATTCAAAGTCAAAACAACGCTATATTTCAATGAAAGTTTCACCCACGGCGGTCGGACGCAAAGTTTGTTTCTTGAGGGAGTTTCTCGCCGCGCCTTCAAGCTCTTCAGTCGTATCACCATGCCTACTTTTAACCTACCTGTGGACGCGCTGGTCGTCTTATTGAAGCGTGGAATATCCGATTCGCGCTGCTAATTGGTACTTCTTGTGAGAGGACCCGCGGACGCCGCCCCATTCGCACTGCTACAAGTTCAAAAAAGCCTCTCATTCTCACCCGGCGGCCTCCATCCCACCATCCGAGCGGCGACCAAAGTTCTACTTGCGCCGCGACTGAATATTCCGCTGCTTCTCGATTGGTCGCTGGCCCAATCTGCCGTCGCCAAGGCACACATGGCACTGGACTGCGATTCAGATATTCCGACATTTACCATATCGTGGGCGTTGGGCCGCTCTTCGCCAACGTCGCATTCACACCTGCCATTTTCGGACGGGCGGTCCCGCTGGTGCTGGCGCGCGAAGCCTGTCCAACTGTCGTGCCTATCGATCTTCCACGACGGCCATTCCCACTTTGGGCCTACCTGACTGGAATCTATGCGCGTCTGCCATACTGGGCATAGGCATAGACAACGGCGACAGCTTCTGATTCTGCGCTTTGACTTAAAGAAGTATACATATATAGCCGCGACGAGATTGGGTTGGCCCCGCGCTTGGAATATCATTATCCTTCATCTCATGCTCGTTGTGGACAAAGACATGCTACATATATCACTGCGTGCACATTGCGCTAACCAAATCCCGGGGTGCGCTTTCTTATTCTGATTCAAATTCGACGCCACTAACTCTGATTCTGATATTCGACTCGCGGATCTTTTTCCTCGATCCAGGCTCGACATTTGTCTAATTCTATCTCTATGGCGAGAATTGTAGCAACCGAGATCCTCCCTACCTCCACTGCCCCTTGCTTCCTTGAGCACTATTCTCCTTCTCAGCACTAACCCGAAGATCTATTTCCTGAAATTTCTCATTCCATCTTCTTCCACTACCAAATCCATCTTCCACTCAACCGAACCTGATACCTACCGCGCCGCATATCCTCTTCCGGTGCCTTCTCAACAGCCACGCCCTGATCACACCAACCGCGCGCAGATGGCGACGGGTCGCAAGCAGTACCACCGACGTCACTTATGACGCGCCCCCGCGTCTCCTTATCGTCCTCCTCCTTCCCACTCCACACATCTCCCGCCTTCACATATACCGAGACTCTCAGCTGATAAGTTCTTGCATATGTCCTTTCCCCATTCCCCCCTCATTTCCCTCATTCTCCCTATCCCGCTTACCGCTACCCTCCTCTCGGCGCGGAAAGTCGCAACGAGGCGTCCGAACAGCATACTAGTCCCTGTCTTCTCGCTTACAGCTTCCCGGTCCCCTGTCCGCGTTCGTCGACGCCGGTGCACGATTATTGGATCCTCAGGCTGAAGCTGACTGGGTCTTCGTCCGCCATCATACCAATGCTCAATCCTCTCTGACTCACCCTCATTCCTTCCATCCTTCCCTTCCTTCGACCCGCGTCGGGGAGCCGCAAGTGTTCTGTTCTGTTCTGTTCTCTCCAATGGGATGCTGTCAACGTCGCGTCCCTTTTCCTGTCCCGCGAACCAACGGCGATCTTCAACGCGTACCTCTTTCTACCGCCGGTCCTCTGCGCTATGACGCCCTGTTCTTCCGGCTCGTAGCCGCTGTCAATCCCACTCCACCTTCCACATTGCTGTCAATTATCAAATTATCAGTCTCGCGTCTCGGTCTCGTTCTCCGCGTCTTCTGTCTGGACCTTCTTGTCGTTGCGCAATCTTACATTCAATCGTTCTACTCCGCAAGTCGACAATCATTTCAACCTCAACTGCAGTCGCTCTCAAAAAAAACTCAAAATTCCCATCCAGGCAAAAAGGAAAATCAATTCACGTCCATCCCTCCCTCCAAATCTATCTATCTATGTATGTATCCGTGTATCGCAGCCGCGCGTCCATATCAGCTACGTAACATACACGATGTGCGTACAAGTATAAGTTGCAATGAAGCATGTATCAAAATCGTTCGAAAAATAAAAAATAAAAATAAATAAAATCTCTATGCAAGGATGATCGCCAAAGTACCAGAGTACCAAGAAAACGTATCGTATTGTAGTATGTAGCGCGCGCCTGTCCCGTATATACATTGGCGCGCGCCGGGAGGGAGAGAGGGAGTGCGTGACCGCCTCCGTTTTGTCCGTTTTGTGTGTGGGGGCAGGGGGATGGATGTATCGTTGTATGGAGAGGGATGGATGGATGGATGGACGTCGCCTCAAGTATCGTACACGCGTCCCCGGGATGAGATGAGTTATAAAATGAGAAATGAGATGAACGAGATTGATGTACATATGCAGGAGATAAAGATACCCAAAAAAGAGATACGAGTTACATGTCGAGTCAAGTCGATGTGTGGTGGTGGGGGTGAGAGACCCGGATTGCGGATTGTGGTGGGTGTGGTGGTGGTGGTGGTCGAGACGACGATGAAGGTGGTGATACATATACAGAGCGGAGTAAGAGAGAGGAAGGGGGCGCTCGGCCAGCCATATGAGGTATAAACAAGAAAATCGAGTCGAAAGTCGAGGGAGGCTCGCCCCGCCTCCTCGCGTATGCGCGCGTCTTCATCTTCAAGAATAGAATCGACGCCAGACGCACTGGCGCTCCATGCAGACACCGTCTCCAGGTCCGCGCGCCTTTTTTGAGTTGGTAGGTGGGTGTTGATCGTGGGTCGGTCGGTCCTTCTCCTCCTCCTCCTCCTCCGCCGCACCGAACCCACCACACCACATCATATCATAACCAGAACAGGAACCACGCCCTTCCACCCGCCCCGCGCGCGTATATATCGCGGGTCGAGTCGAGTCGAGGTCGAGTCGCGCGCGCGCGCCGTTCGGCCGTCGTCGTCGTCGTCGTATCATCATCATCGCGTCGCGTCGCGGTCGCGTCCATTTTTTTTTGGTTTTTGTGCAGCTCCGCCTACGCGTCGCGTCGCGCTTTTTTGCTTTTAGTGGTCATGTCGGCGTCGTAAAACCATTTTCGTTTCGTGGGTGCCGCGCGCAATCGCCGCCAGCGCTGCTAAATATGTCGGTGGTGGCGTCCACCAAACCGACCGAGCAAGCTGTCCGGCACCGTCATCTCCC